TCTGTGATGACAAATGGCTGTCAGATTTTTTTTAATAAGCACTCTCGATCTGTCCCTTTCAGAGAAAGGTAATGCTTCATCACCTCTTAAAAAATAAACTCATGCCACAGAAAGAGCACTTGAAAACAGATGCTTGGATGTTCCTGTTGTTACACAATTTTGTTCCAAACCCTGCTTGATACCTTTCAATCTCTTCCATCTGCATACTGCAAAAGAATTGGCAACAGAATTTTCTAACTTGGTTTAGAATCTTTTTTTTTTTAAGATTTTATTTATTTATTCTTGAGAGACATACACACAGAGTGACAGAGAGAGAGAGGCAGAAACCCAGGCAGAGAGAGAGACGCAGGCTCCATGCAGGGAGCCCGATGTGGGACTCGATCTCCAGGATCAGACCCTGGGCTGAAGGCAGTGCTAAACCACTGAGCAAACCGGGGATCCCCGGTTTAGAATCTTTTAAACAAGGGGCCCAGTCAGTAAGCGTCTCCCTTTGGCTCAGGTCGTGATCCCAGGGTCTTGGGATGGAACCCTTCATCAGGCTCCCCGCTCAGTGGGAGTCTGCTTCTTCTGCTCTCCCCGCTTGTGCTCTGTCTCTGTCTCTGTCAAATAAATAAATAAATAAAATATTTTTTTAAAGAATCTTTTAGATGAGAAGTGTCCATAGGTTTGTACTCCCTTTTATTAAAATTGTAAAAATAGGGACACCTGGGGGGCTCAGTGGTTGAGCGTCTGCCTTCGGCTCAGGGCGTGATTCTGGGTCTAGGGATCGAGTCTTGAGTCGGGCTCCCCATAGGGAGCCTGCTTCTCCCTCTGCCTGTGTCTCTGCCTCTCTGTGTCTCTCATTTCTCAATAAAGAAATAAAATCTTTGAAAAAAAGAAGTGTTTAAAGAAATACTGTGCTTCTGCCTCGCCTGGCCTCCATCAACCTCATCAAACTGACCTTTCTCACCTCTTCTCCAGGAGCCTTCTTCCTGCCTACTTATTTGAGGTCTAGGTTTGGACCAAGACTCACTCAGAGCCCATTTCCTGCTTGCACCTCTTCCATCCTGGCCTCGGGAGTCCTCTCCAGACCGCCCCACTCCTGGGAGCTATTCTAGAGCACTTATGTGCACAGGTGGACACTGTCGGCACGGATCGTGATGAGAATGTCCTGTCTCTGCAGCTGGACTGTGACACCTGGAACCGCCAGCCTGTGGGCCTCCGTGTAGGCCCAGCGCCTAGAGCAGAGTCTTGTAAACAGCGGCACATGCTACATGCAGGCCTCCTGACTTACTATACAACGCTGCTGCTGTACACAGCAAATGCTCAGTGGTGACAGCATGATATCTGGGGTCAGCGAGGTGAACCGTCTGCATCTGTCACACGCATTTTTCTCTAGTGGGGGGAGGGCCACGAGCTGTGATCCTAGCATCGCTGCCTGCCTGGTGGCAGAGGGGACTCGTGGGGTGAGAAGCCATGAGGGTGCTCATTTTGTTCTGTTCTGGGGGCAGCTGGCTATCTCGAGCCCAGCGACCTGTGGGCTGGATGCTGTATCATCCCTCGGGTAAAAGCTATGGTAATAACTGCTATTCTGGGCCAAAATACATTTAGTGATGTCCTGGGGGATTTGGGTGCATGAGGCACACTTTAAAAATACATGAGAATTTAAGAGCCCCCCCCCCCCACATACACCTGCTGGAAGAACACATCCACACTCCTGGGCTAATATTAGGGCTGTTTACGTTCTATGGCTGGCATTTCCTGGGCCCTCTACAATTGCCCCTGGAGACAGAGTGATACTTTGGCACCCTTGGTCCAGAAAGGATTACTGGGGCTAAGAAGGAGCACGTCTGGGCAACACAGACATGTAGACAGACGTCCAGAAATATGTGGGCCACTCCAAACAGAGCTATTATCTGGCCAGGTTGTCCTGGGTTCAAGGTGGCCTTTACATAAGGGAGTCCAGTTAGAGGGGGTCATTTCAGATCAGGGACAAATGGTCCCCAAATCCAGTGTTACACACAGACTAAGAAACACAGCTTTTCCAGTGGGGAGACTACTTTGGGAAAGAAATGAAGGCCTGTAAGGCAACAGTCTCCCTTCCATTCCACCCCCACCCCAAAAGGGGCAGGGGAGGAAGGGGAGAGGGAGAGAGAGAATCTTAAGCAGGCTCCACAGCCCATGCCAGGCTCAACTTGGGGCTCGATCTCCCAACCCTAATATCATGATCTGAGCTGAAATCAAGGGTCAGATGCTTGGGATTCCTGCGTGGCTCAAGGGTTGAGCATCTGCCCTCGGCTCAGGGCATGACCCCAGGGTCCTGGGATCGAGTCCCCCATCGGGCTCCCCGTGGGAAACCTGCTTCTCCCTCTGCTCGTGTCTCTGCCTCTCTCTATGTCTTTCATGAATAAATAAATAAAATCTTCTTTAAAAAAAAAGTCAGATGCTTAACTGACTGAGCCATTCAGGAGTCTCAACAGTCTCCCTTCCTAAAACAAACCCTGACTCTTCTGAGCTTCAAGTGAGGAGGCAATGGGGGCATCTTCATTTGAGGAGGGCACTGTGCAAGCATCTCTTTGCCTGTGGGTTTTGCCTTTCCTTTGAGCACCACTCTCCCTGGTCACACGAGTTGGGGGGGAATGTATCTTTCTCATGTTGCCTTTAGTACAACTGAGGCAGATTATAATTCTAAATGGGGACTTGATGTTAAAAAAAAAAAGGAGAAAGAAAATAAGGCACAAAGACAGTTGCAGTATCAAAGCATAATTTATTGACACTACACAAGAACTTCTTGTACCCAGCCCCTTCCCCCACACTCTTCAAAAGTCCCTAGAAAAATCTCTCTTACAGTGTTTAAGCTCTCCTAGGTTGGAAGCCTTGGGAAACAGGTTCCCAAGTGTCTGATGAGTAACCAGTAGACCGCTCAGGCTTCCTGGGTCTAGAGCAACAGAAGCAAGCAGACAAACAAGAGCCCCCCATCCCCTGCTCCAGCAGAGGACAGCCCGTAGCCATCAGAACCTGAGGCCCCAGAAAGAGGACTGCAGCCAGAGCCCAGAGGGGCAGAGAGCGCTGCCCAACTGAATCAGCGGGCCCCTCTCCCCAGGCAGCCCTGGGCCTGATCCCCCCACGCTGTTCTCCTGGCTGCTTGAGTTCCTTGGATCCCAACAATGCTTAATGTAGACATGTCACCCCCGCGGGCTGGGGAGAGAGCTCAAGTCGACCACCTTCCATTTAGCACCAGGGAAGCCTGTTCTGGACCCCGGAGAACTCAGAGCCAGGACAGGGCTCCAGGACAGGGCTGGAGGTTGGGTGGGGACAGGACAGCTAAGGTGCTGCCCAGAACTAGACCCTCTCCTCCTGAAAACAGAGATACTCGGCTGGTGGTGCGAGGTATTAGCTAGGATGCCATGGGACTGGCTCCTGCACTGTGCTCCCGAGCTCCAGCTGGATGCGAGCACTCTAATGCTTACGTGCAGTCACGCCACCCCCAGCAGCTCCGTGGAACAGGGGCAGAAATGAGGAAGAGCACGTAAGTTAGGGTGCGGTCAGGGCTGCAAGCCCAGGCTTGGTGTCCTCCGGATTCACGGCCGCGGGTGGGGAGCTCTGGGCCGGGCTGCGTGGGGCTGAATGGCCCTTGGGAGCTTGGTAGGCACAGGGCAGGACCCTAGAGGGCTGAGCAAGGAGGGTGGAGGCCAAGTGCAGAAGAACCGGGTGGCACACAGAAGTGCCGCCTGGGAACGAGTCTGGACTCCTTGGAGATGGTCACGAACACAAGCCGTGCTGGCCGCTACACTTACGGAGACCTCGCGGTCAGCTGGGTCACCCTGGGACAGCTCATTTGCCTCCCCAGCAGCCCTGCCCCCGTCCTGCGATGAGGAAGTAGAGTCAGAAGGGCGTTCTGTACCTCTCCTCTGAGCAGGATCCCCTAAGTGGCAGGGCTGGGCTTGAACCCCTGGAGTCCAACCCCATCCGGTCTCTGCTCTCAGCTCTGTACCTGCCACAGCTGGTGTGGCGAGCCTGGCCCTGCTGGACCCCATTTCTTTCCCTGGTGTCCTTTGGCGTTTGTATCCCAAACGACCCCAATAGCAGGAGATCCCTGAAATCCTAGGTTCCCTGGGCCCCCAAGGACCCCACGCCTCGATGCACTGTTGTCATGGGGATGTTTGCTCCTTCTGAGGCCCCCCTCCCCATCTCACGATTAGTTCCCCTGGGGCACCCGACTTTCTCTCCTCGGCTTGCTGGCTTGCTGGGCAGGCTGAGCCAGCAGCTGCCGCTGCCAAGGGGCCTGCAGGAAAACAAATGCAGGAGCCCCGCGGGTCCCTGGGGCTCCCCCTTCGCAAGCAGCCTGCAAACCTCTGCAGGCAGCGCCCTTGGGGACGGCTGCTACTCGTCACTTGTTTGGCTGCCAGCGGCCTGGGCGCCTGCGCCACCGGGCTTTGCTGGGACGGGGGCACCAGCTTCCTGGGAGCCGAGGGCTTGGGGACCCGTGGGGCTGCTGCTCGACCCCGCATCAGGCCTGCTTCAGGCTCACTCTGCCGCAGAACAACGTCGTGTTTGCTTGTCTGCTATCGATACTGCAGTGGCTGTCTGGGGGTTTCTCTGAAGCAAACTGGTAAGCTCCAGGCGTGTAAGTACGTTTCCGGCTCAGTGCTGCGCTCACGCGCGTGGGTTCAGCTTGGACAAGGCCAGCCTTTGTTCCGTCACTGCCTCCATGTCCTGCCTGAATCTGAACCTTCCAGACACCTCCATCCCCCCGTGCCCCCACGTAAGCACACTCCTAAATAGATTCAGAATCTGGCTCCCGCCTCTTTCCCTGGATAGTGAAACATCCTTTCAGCCCCTCAGGGTCAGGCTGTGGCCGCAGCCACTGTCTCACGTCTCCCTGCAGCAGGACGTGGCCCTCTGTGTTCAGTTGCCATTTTGAACCTCCTTGCGCCTTCCGCTGTCAGCGCTGCCTCCTGAGGGAGCAAATGCCCCCTAGACCTTCCTATAACGTTGTCGCTAAACCACATGATATTTTTTCCCCAGTTTTATTGAGGCATAATTTACACAGAGCAAAATATGCTTTTTAGTGCACGGTTCCGTGAGTTCTGACGAATACATGTGGTCACACAAGCACCACCACGATGAGGATGCAGAGCACGTCCACCCCCCAAAGGTTCTTTCACTCACCCCTGTGGTCAGGCCCGCCTCCCACCCCAGCCTCTTGCCACCACCGGTCTGGATGGGTTCACTTCCTCCCTTGGAATTTTGCCTTTTCCAGAATGTCACACAAATGGAACCTGGAGCCCGGCCTCCCTGACTCAAATCCTATCAAGGACAAATCCTCGGTGTTGCACGTGTCACTAGTCTCCTCTTTTTTAATGCTACGTAGTATTCCAGGGTCGGGCCGGACCACAGTCTGCTTGCCATTCACCAGCTGAGGGACGTTCGGGCTCTTTCCGGTTTCAGGCAACGATGAGTAGTGTCGCTGTAGAGTCGCACGGAGGTTCCTGTGGACACGTGTCTCATCTCTCCGGGAAATACCCAGGCCGGGGATTTCTGAACGGTAAGGTAAGTACATATTTAACTTTCAAGAAACTGCCAAACTGTTCTCCAAAGTGGCTGTATTATTTTGCACCCCTACCAGCCAGAGAGGAACCCAGGTGTCCCCGGGGCTCCCGGGGCTCCCGGTGCCGCCCCCCACCCCGCTCTCCCTCCTCTCACCCCACGGGCCGGGCTGCCTGCTACTTTGATGATGTGTGTCTGTGCTTCTTCCTCTCGAGTGAGCGGCAGTCCTGGAGGCAGGACGTGGGGGCCGCTGATTCCTGTGACCTACCCTGAGCGCGGGCAGGGCCTCGCTGGGTCTCCGTCGCTCCTCGCTCCTCGCTCGCTCGTGTAGGGGAACGAATGAACGTGAGCGCTCTCCAGGTGGCAGCCGCGTCTAGAGGACAGAGGTACCAATGCCCCAGCCCGGCTCACCTGGGACGCTCACCTGGGACCACAACTCTGGGATTCAAAAACCCAACCCCAAATGTGCTTCAAGCAGCTGCCCTGCGGACACGCAGCCGTGCCTACCGGCCACCCCTCTGGGCCTGCCCCGCCGCCTCTCTTGGCGATAGCCGGGTCCCCGGATCCCCGCCCTACCTGCAGGTGCTGTGAGTGGTCCCCAGTCCCCGCGGTGTGCAGGGATTCTTCGGTGGGAGGAGCTGCTCCCCGGGGGCTGGGAGCCCAGGAACTGCGAGGAGAGCTTGGAGAGTGGTCCCCGAGGGCCTGAGTGCAGGAGGCCCGCCCGAGCCCCCGCAGCCCTTGCGGCCGGCAGCGGGGTCTCCGCAGGTGCAGGGGCAGCCCCGCGGACTGACAGCTGGGGTGCTGAGCGGGATGAAGGGCTCCAGCGGGGCGTGGGGGGCAGTGGGCTCCCGGGCTCCCCGGAGTCCAAGGTATTCTGTTCCCGTGAGGCGGGCTGGCCAGGCCCCAGGCCCCACCCCCCGGAGCGGGGACATTTTGCCAAGAGAAGAGAGGAATGAAACCTGCAAAGGTGGGCGCAGCTGGGAGTTCAGGCTGTGCTCCTGGGGCTGCTGTGTGGCCCTGGGACAGGATGGGTAACGGGCTGTCAAGAAGGAAAAACCTTAGAGGTGGATCATCTGCTCCAAATTCCTCCTCCCCACAGGTGAGCTCTCTGAGGCCCAGGGCGGGGAAGGAGCTTGCTCATGGTCACACTGCTAAAGTAGTAAAGAATAAACCACAGCCCAGTCTCTGGACTCTTTTTCTTTTCTTTTCTTTGTAAAGATTTTATTTATTTGAGGGACGCCTGGGTGGCTCAGTGGTTGAGCGACTGCCTTTGGCTCAAGGCATGATCCTGGGGTCCTGGAATCAAGTCCTGCACCGGGCTCCCTGTGTGGAGCCTGCTTCTCCCTCTGCCTGGGTCTCTCCTCTCTCTCTGTGTCTCTCATGAATAAAGAAATAAAATCTTTTTTTAAAAAAGATTTTACTTATTTGAGAAAGAGAGTATGCACACGCACAGGCAGGGATGGGGGGAGTTGGGCATGACGGGAGGGGCAGAGGACAAAGAGACTCCCTGTTGAGTGTGAAGCCCAAGCTGAGCCCATCCCAGGACGCAGAGATCATGACCTGAGCTGAAGTCAGACGCTTCACCCAGACACTCCTCTGGACTCTTTTTTTTTGTTTTTAAGATTTTATTTATTTATTCATGAGAGACACAGAGGCAGAGAGAGAGGCAGAGACACAGGCAGAGGAGAAGCAGGCTCCATGCAGGGAGCCCGACGTGGGACTTGATCCAGGGTCTCCAGGATCAGGCCCTGGGCTGAAGGCGGCGCTAAACCACTGAGGCACGCAGGGATCCCTCCCCTCCCTTTTTTTTTAAATTTATTTTTTAATGATTTGCTTTATTTACTGATGAGAGACACAGAAAGAGGCAGAGACACAGGCAGAGGGAGAAGTAGGCTCCCTGAGGGGATCCCAACGTGGGACTCGATTCCCAGGACCCCAGGATCACTCCCTGAGCTGAAGGCAGATGCTCAACCACTGAGCCACCCAAGTGTCTCTCCTCTGGACTCTTTTAAGACCAGTTTTTAATCCAGAATCCTATCAACTCATCAGGAAAATCTAGTCTAGAAAGCTCTTGAAAAGCAAAAAGCTAAAAATGAGCCCAGATCTGTTTGGATTGGTGCATTCCTAGCCAAAATGCCTACACTGGTGTTGCCTCTGGTTACATGGGTTTCAGCCTGTGAGTGTGGTGCAAATGGGCATCTGTCTCCTTTAGAAAACCATTCCAACAAAAAAGTGGGCTAGCTGCTCCTGGAAACATCTAGGCCCAGTTTTGCCAGGAAGCACACAACCATGTGGGGCTGTTTCTAGTTTAGGGTATGGCAGGAGGGGGTGGGCTCTGGAGTGGGAGAGGAGGCTGTCCCAACACATGCTTCGGGAATCTTCCCTCTTGCTGACAGCTGTACAGTGGCTGATGGAGGCAGCTAGTGGTGGAGGAGGAGGCTCTGCTTACACATAAAAGGCTAACAGTGGCCTGAAGCTTACACTGCGTAATCACTCATAATTACCCTACATTCCTCTGACTTGTCAACAGCATGACCCGGACAGATCCCCATTACCTGACACAATTTTCCCTAAAATTACGGACTTTTGATGACCTCCAAACTGACCTGACATAGTAATTTTGTTCTGAGGTACCTGGATATATCTATCTCTCTGTGTCTCTGTCTCTGTCTCATCTGTCTTAGTCTATCAACTCTACTGGTCATACAGGCCCAAGCTGCCATATTTGTTCCATGAGATCCCCAGCTACAGCTGACTGTGTCAGAATCAGAGCTGTCTTAGTGTTGAACAATCTATTGGCTGGTTGGTAACCAATCAGATTCACCCACTCGAGAGTTTTAAATGAGTGCTAGAGAACCAGAACTCAATCAGAATTCAAAGGTTTTATAGAGTTGGGGACTTCACCTAGCAACCAAAGCTATGAAGAGCCAAGGTTATCTGGAGGCCGAGAAGCTTTTTGAATAAGCTGGAATGAGGAATATGGCGCAAAAGTGTAAATAGATGAGACACTATAGAGGCCCCAGAGAAAGAGAATCACAGAGAATGTCCGCCTGGAGCCCTAGAGTTCCAATTTTCCAGATCCAATTTCCAAGAGATTGAGCTATACTTTATTTTCCTGAGCTGCACTAGAACTGTACAATAATTACCTCCTTTATTTTGGCTTGCATGAGTGCTTTCCTTCCTTAGCATCCAGCAAATCCATCCTAAAATGCCTTTATCTTCATATAATCTGATTTCATGTATCATAAAAATGCTTGCTCACAAATCTCCAGGGGATGGCCTTGGAGCCGGTGATGGTGTCTATCTAAGTCTCCCTGTGGAGATTTAGAATGAAAGACCATTAAGGAGCCGAGTGAGGAGAGGAAAGGGGAACGCTCCATTTCTGTAACTGCACAGAAAGTCTTCTGAAGAAAAGGAGCCCAGGCACTGAAAAAGGGCATCTAGTTAGAGGGAGAAAGTGTCTTTCATGTACTTGGCCTGGTCCCTCGAGAGTAAGTGCTCCGGGTTTCCTCAGCTGGCCTCTTCGTTCATTCCATAAACATTGATTGTGAGCAAATGTGAGCCTGACCCTCAGCTCAGGGCTGAGGAAACAGAGAAATAAGGCACATTTTCTTCTCAGAGTTTTTAGTAAGGGAGACAAACATGTTAGCACTTGGTTGGTACTGCAACCCAGCCTTGATTATGGTCTCTCTTCTGTGTGAATTATTTATCTCTACGTCAGTTTCTTCTGTGAGAAGGGTCAAAAAAAAAAAAAAAAAAACAACAGAAACCCTGGAATATTGTTCCCCCACCCCACCTCCCATTGGGACTCGTGAAGACCTCAGCACTCAGGAGGTAACTGGAAAATTAATTGGCCAGAGGGTCTGGGCTGTGGGTTTGGACTATTCTGCTCCTCTTTGTCTACTGATGGCCAACCTGGTCCTGACCAGTACATTTGGGGGAAATATGTGCTCCTGGAGCTCCTGGGTCACATAAGGAGGCCCAGAAGGGGTGAGGAATGTGGGTGAAACCACTGAAATCCATGCTGGGAAAAGAACTCAAAGCATACACACTCTGGGTGTGGGTGAGTGATGTCTCTAGAGAGAGGTGCCCTAGAAGTTAGAGCTAAAGCCACTCAGCTGGGAGTAGAGTCAGCAGCAAGACCAGTCATCCCCAAGTTCACTGGACACTCTAAGTTTTCCGAGAGAGTCATCTGGATTTGAGGGTCTAACCAGTTGTAGAGAGGACCTGAATATCCTAACACTAAAATGTCAGTAAGAATTGAATGTTTGCTTTGTGATCTGTGCACATGAAGAATGAGTTAAAATAAATTGGGGTGGTTTTGATGGTGTTCGAGCAAATAAGGCCAAAGAGCATTAGCTCTGTCAAAAGGCTGGGGCGCTCTAAGCAGCCACCATGGGTACCTAGACTCCTTGGCAGGAGTTCTTCTAGAGCGGAGATGCAGGTACTTGGCTCCTGTGACACAATATCTTGACCATTAAGAGCATAAACCAATCTCCTGTCCCCAAATTCTGTTTCAATACTGTCCAGGCAACTCTGGATTCCAGGCTGTTTGGGAGTGACATTTCTCAAGACAGTTCTGATTTACCATCAATCTCTTAGGAGGTTGGTTGGCATGAGATAGTCCTGTAGCGCATCTAAATGCAAGAGGATCATTTTAGGCGGAGAGAGCAGGACACTTTGTATTCAAAGCAGCGTGGAAACAAGTGTCCTAACGGCCCAACAGCTTAATATCTCATGCAGAAACAGTGCATTGTGTCATCAAGCCAAAGACAAGCCAAAGACTGACAAACACGGACCTGGCGGGGGTGGGTGGGTGCAAAAGTGACTCCATTACTGTTCCCAGTAAGTCCTCAATAGTGCTGAGACGTGGGTCATGTGTAGTTACCAGTACAGCTCACACATTTTAAATTACTTACACACTCAAGTCCAACTAAACTGCAAAGGACCTATAAACTCTCCTTTTCCTCTGAAGCCTCTGCTTTCAGCATTACCTACCCCCCGCCCCCGCCAACCCCCTGCAAAAACTAAATTTAGCCATCTCTTTTTGCTTGAAATAGTTTCCATAGGGGCTTAGACTCACTTGATAGGGCTGATATTATAAGTGAAGTCAAGAAAAAAACACATCATTAAAAATGTTCAGGGCCAGCAAAATGCCTTTGAAATTGCTTGCTTTTTAGCTGGAAATGTGAACTAACGTAGCGGGAGCACGTCTTGCTGCCTGCATTAGGAAGATAATAGAAATGTAATGCTATTCCTCGTGCTACTTTTAATGCCATGGGCGATTCCGAGCCCTGACAAATTAACAGAGGGATGTTCTTTTCTTTGGGAGAAGGAAAATAGGATTTATTGGTGAAATGGACAGCCCACCAC